ACCGCAGACATGCCAGCACCTGCACCTGAAGTAAAACCCGCCAAGTTAGCACCTGTCCACGCACCCGTTCATCTCCCGACCCGCCGACCCATGCAACTCCCCCTCATGCAACCCCCCACACCCCCAAAAAACACAAACCCGTGAAACACACCCGTCTTCCCGGGGGCATGTACCGCATGTACCGCATGTACGTCCTGACCGCGGATCCCGACCAAGTTGCAATCAACCAATCAAACTACAGCCAACCAAACTGCAACCAACCAAACTACAGCCAACCAAAATGCAACCAAGCAAGCTGCCACCGACCCACCGACCCACCGACCCACATACATACCTGTGGCTGATGAAGTAGTCACAGGGCCCCACGTAACGTGGCTCAATGACCTCCACGTAGCGACACTGCCGCTCTCGAGTTCTGGGGACAATTATATCCGTCACCACCTTCCAAGTGGGCATGTCCTGATCAGGAAACACAACCACAACCACCACAACAAACACCACAAATACCATGGTACTTTAATAACGTACATCGCCGCTAGATATCATCATGTACATATATGTAACAACAACATGTGAAACTAAGCGGCCAGGCTCGCCAACGCACGGTGCAACGATCGCCGGTCGTATTTTGATCAATTCCCGAATCGGCGAAATTTTAAAAGCCAAATCTAATGCTTTCCCAAGCTTTCCTGGCCCCGCCCGTCTCCACCGCACCGCAGATGGCGGTGACACGAGGTGACTTCCCCCGCAAGGCATGCCCCCGCACTGCAATGCGACATAACCGCCTTCATAACGCGATAGAAGATGAGCCACAGCGCAAGGTTTGGTTTAGGTTTAGGTTTAGGACTCCGTATAGCCTAATTAGGACATATCTGCTACAGGCAGGCCAGATTTTAACGCTGGTAGCTGCTGGCCTGTACTTCCCGGGTGCTGATTGATCTGGCCACCCGGGGGCTCACCTCGGGGACACCGGCGCAGAACTCGATAAGGAATTGCAACGAGACGGCGCAGTCGACCATACGGGGTTGTTGGGGAGGCTTCTGCTGCTGCTGCTGCTGCTGGAGTTGCTGCTGCTGTGTCTGCTGTGTCTGTTGCTGCTGTGTCTGCTGCTGCTGCTGTGTTGTCGGTGGTAGTTTCAGTTGCATCTGTTGTTGCGGTTGATGCTGCTGTCTAACAGCAGCCTGGGATGTGGCGGCGGCCGCCGGCTTGACACCACGCGCTGCTGCTGGTTGTTGTCGTGATGATGATTGTGACGTCAATGAAACAGGTGCGGCCTGCTGCCCTCCGCCGCCCTTGGCGGACAGCTTTGATGCCGACGGTGACTGCTTGGAAACGTCTGGTGTTTTCTTCTGGGGAGACACGGAGAACGACGGGGGTGTTTTGGACACACCGGTGGATGAGGGTGCCGTCCTGCTGGAGGAAGATCCTGCTGCTGAGGAGGAGGAGGCGGATGGATAACTTGCGATGGCCCTAGCGGGGATACCGGCCTTGGCGCCCGGTTCGGGATTTCCCATGGTGCTTCCGGGTGGTTGGTTGCTATCAGGAAGTTGGTCGTTGACAGGTGGTTCGCCGTCCACTGGAAGTTCGTCGTTTTTCAGCGTTTGGTTGTCAGGGTATTGGTCGCCGGATTCACCTTCCTTGCGCTGCTCCTCTCCGGGGTGTTCGGTTGTTGCTGTTGTTGCTGGTGGTGTTTGTGGTGCTGTGTTTGGAACTGATTGGGGCGAGGATGGAGGAGCTGGTGACGATGCCCAGCTATCTGCTACCCGAGTGTCGTCCTCGACTGTGGCTGGCGCTGCTACTAAAGCCTGTGCTGGTGCACCGGCAACTGCTGCGTCGTTGGGAACGTCCTCGCCAGCGCCGGTAGAGCCCAGCTGCAGATCCTGAAGAGGTTCAAGCTGCTGCTGAAGCGAATCCGGATCCTGACCTTCAGGAGATTCAAATCCTAGATCGCGGCACTGAGGGAGATTGACTTCCGGATCCTGTGTTTTGCAGTCTGCGTCCTGCCGCTGGGATAATGGCGCCGGGATTGGATCCTGCAGTAGATCTGCAACCTTTCCGCTGCTGGAAGATCCGAACAGCTCAGGCGGCTCCTGGACAGGTTCCGGAGCCGATTGTTCCTGGGTTGGTTTCTTCGGATATGTTGCTGTGGACGGCTCAAATGTTGGGTTGGCTACTGGTGCCTGTTGTTCTTCGCTTTGGCTCAACTCGGGTCCGGCGGATTGCCTCCCTTTTTGGTTTCCGCCTTCCTCTTTTGAAATCTTCCTTTTGTGCGCTTCCGGGTCCCTTTGGCCTGCCTTTGCAACGCCCTCTTGCAGGATGACACTGTTCGGCAGCGATTGGTCGCGTAGTTCGCCTGCCGGGGCACCAGGAACAAATCCAAACCTCAAAGACGCATACGTAGCTTCATTTATTAATGAAAATACTACAGAGGAGATGCGCCGTCCGGGCCCTGCCGACATTCGCCCCGCTTTCATAACACACCTGGGTCTAAGGCCGAAACAGAAGGCACCCTCGCAGCAGAGGCCCCGCAACCCATAGTCTGGAAGAAAGCTTTATACACTTCACACCTCACGGAAAGCCCAGGGAGCTCGCCGAGCACTGTCGGAGATGACTTTCAGCTTACAGTCCACCGGAGCTGGAAGGATCGTCGTATTTCATAGCATGTAAAGCAAAATTTGGGCTAAAGTTGAAAGCTTTGTGTGAATCGGCACTTATCAGCAATGCGTCCTTCGGCGCAGTTTGGAGCTCCAGGACAACATCAGGTGACATGGTACTTCGACCTTTTCAGCTTACAATTCTAGCAGGTTCAGTAAGACATATGATTTTCCGCGTGAAGCTGAGGATTAACCACCGCTGCAGATGCTCGTGCAGTACACTGGGTCAGAACAGGCCACTCCATATAACTAGCAGTTTTTGTGACAGCGGCGTAACAGAAATGTCCTAAAAAGTGAGTTTTAAACATTTACAGTTTACTTCCTCGGCTTGTTGCCAACCGCGCCTTCGCACTGGTCGCCGTGCTTGGTTGCTTAACATGTTGGATGCCAGCGTTTGATGTAAATAAGGTCTCCTTTTCTTTTTAGGACGCGTCCAAGCTGTCGAACGCGTTGATCAGTTACTGAAACATCAGTTACAATGTAGTTGTGAGGTGGTCATACAGGGCTCCGCTATCGGAGCCAGCACCTTTCATCCCCCCTGCTTCAAGTCGCCAGCACGGCATACCAAACCGACCCGACAGTTAAAGCGCTCGACTGCTCTTCAGGTCCCAAACACGCTCGACCCCCCCAGCTTGTCCTGCAACTAACGAAACAAGTAATCACAGATCTACCCCGCGTTTAGCGTTCGGCGGCTGCAGGCGGGCAAGCCCTAGGCACCTCCTGGGCGATTGCCATCCATAACTACTTAGAGGCAGCGCAGTCCAAAGTAATGCAAAACCAAATGCAAAAACGGCAGGGCATATTCCAAAGGCAGAAATTATGCATGACTACCAGGGTCATGGGTTTTCCCCAAAGGGGCCCCAACGTACCCACATAACGGACATACATAACTGAATGCTCCGACGACATCAACGCACCGGGCATACAAACATATATACAAATGTACACTACGCCCATTGGCCGCCCGACGCCCTAGCTAAACCGTCAGCAGCAGCAGCATCGTCATCATCGCTTAGGCTTTAGCATGTTGGCCTACACAAATTTCTCGCCCAAAGCCCCCCGAAAAGAGTCAATAGAAGATACCTCGACTGAGAGTTGCGTGTTCTCCCCTCTGTACAAATGGCGGCCGCAGACGACACGACAGTGCCGTACATTAGGTTTTCACGGACTTTCCTGCCGTACGCAGCCATCCCGATGCCCCAATCGGTTCCACATTCTCTTTCGCGAGAAAACGTCCGTCGTACCAGCTCACCACACAAACCCAAAAGGTGCTCCTGCCCTTTCATAAGCAATCCGCTGATGCCCCCGTTCGTCTGTTCATGTGTTAGTGCATGCGCGCGTGTGAACAACGCGGGAAAACAGGCGGCAAGCATATATCTCTGGAGGGGCCCCCGCCGCGTTCCAATGTCTGTAATAGAAAACTATCCATCGCTCACTGCCGAACGGTGAAGAAAGTTTTTGCCCCTGCCTCTATTACCAACTTATGATGGAGAGCGAAGTGCGACCCGTCCAACGCTCGCCAGTGCTGCGCTTTCAGAATGCTGATAAACGCAATGATGAACTAACAACACACGCATGCACAGCCAAACGCATCATATACACCCTCCGACGCCCTCCGCGTCACCCGGGTGACCAAACAGCTCATACCACGAACTCATCTCCTAGCGATTTCTACACGCTGTTTCCCTGCCGCTGTCAAGCCAAATAACGCACATACACGTGCAAACACATACATACTCTCAGTCAGCTCCCTAAACTGAATCCAGAACCGGATTTGGATCGATGGATCCAATCCCTTGAGGTCTGTCCGATTCCAGTCGTCTGTCCGCAGTCCATTATTATCCACATCCGGCAACATCATTAGCAGGATTAATCCTGCTAATATTATAATATGTAATATTACACTACGTGGACGGGCGTGGGAGATGCCGGGCGGCGGTGTATGCCGCTAAAGTTTATTATAAAGAGTACACTCTGAAGTCGGATGGGGTGAATGGATTAGGGTGCCCCTCTAGCAGGGGAGAGCAGGGAATTGCCTCGGGAAGGAGGCCACTGGTGAAGCTTAACCACCCTGTAACAACATCGACATGTATACCCGTGGGAAAGGCTGTTGTTGTACCTCGTTTCCGCTAATGTATGTTATTAGGATAGGGCACTGCTGCTGCTAGGAAGAGAAGAAGCCCATAGTAACCTACCTTGCTGAGCCGGCTTGCTGAGCTGCTAAGAAAGAACTGGACAGGAAACAATCCAAGAAGGCGCCACCCGACAATAAGAAACCGGAATCATTCGACCCGTGCGATGCCGCCTCCGCCGCTTCTTTTCCTGTTACGGTCAAGATTAGCAAAGTGGTGATTTTCACCCACATGCATACATACATACATACATACATACATACATACATACATACATACATACATACACGCCAAAGCGACGACGACCTCAACCATCAATTGACCCAGCAGATGGCATTATCCTGTCCGACCAGCATCCTCAAAATTTTCACGTTGTAGCAGCTGCCGTACAGAATTAAGTATCATAACATTACATTTGGGTCTCCTGAACAGCAACAGACATACATACACCAAAAACACAGCACATGACGCGTCGTCGTCCCCACAGCCTGGACGTGACATAGCTGCTGTGAGTGGTGCTATGCTGTGAATGGGTCGTGGAAATGCCTAAACCCCTGCCCTCCGCCTTCCTGCCTGTCTGCCTGCACTCATACACCGGACATAAATACACACGCACGCGCGCCTGCACTAATGATGGGCCAAGGCGATGCAGGTCTCTCTACACTTACAACGCTAATAATTGCCCAACCTCACCCCAGTACTCTGCCGTACTCTGCCGTACTCTCAACCGGATGCCATCTACCCAGAATATTACCGCATCTACAGCGATGTGTGCTAGGCGACCGAGCTTGATAGGCAGTAGAGCTGACTCCGTCGTCGGTGTACGGCACATGGCGGCTGGCCAGGGGCCGCCGGGGCGGACCCGCCAAATAGGCTGCCGCAGCGGCATCGACCTACCAGGTCGCGTATTACCACTGGTATATGAATGGACCGCGATCTACGGGACGTCAGCCAGGGATGCTTCCCTTCCGTCCTTCATTTCCATCGGGTCGATGACTCATTAACTCTCTGCCTTTGCCTTTGCAAGCACTAGATAGACTTTATAACACCGCTCTCTCACTTCTTTTGGCACGGCAATAGCAGCAACAGCAGCAGCAGCAGTAGTACGCGGCATCAGACATCATCGCAACAAACATGCTGTACAGGCGAAAGCCTTGTCGTAAAAGCGCCAAGGCGACGTTTTCATAATTTCGTCCGCATCCATTCCAGAACGCCATGTTGTTTTGCAGCTGTGGCACAAAGCTGTCCCCCTTACAGTAAATAAGTACCTACACACACTCTTTCGGTGACGTGCGTGCGGACACACATTCATGTGCACAGTGTCGCAAAAGCTGCATCCTCGTGTATTCACAGCTGTAGCGCATATTCGTCATATTGAGCCTCCGTACATTACCCCCTGGTACCTTTCACGCGGCCTGTTGTACTGTCAAAGGTGGGCGGGTAGCGGATCCAGGACGTGGCGGTCGGGCAGAACCCGGTCTTTGCGCCGTCGCCGAAGCGGGCCTGGCCATGGAGGTTGCAGTGGGTACGGGAAGCGGCGCTGAGTTTGGCCGCGGCGGGTTAGCTGACCCGGGGCGCGGCTTTATTTCTTGTCGCCCGTCATCTTGTTCGGGTGCTGTGGCCCCTTGAGGTGAATCTGATTTTGTCTTGACGGCGGCAGCCTCCGAGGGGGAGGCAAGTGGAGGGGGAGCGGGCGTGGCAGGGCCCGAAACTGCTTCGGGCTCGCAGACCTTGGAGCGCTCCTTTTTGGGAGCAGGAGGCTTTGATTGTTGAGCAGCTGGGGTTGGATCCTTCTTTTCGGCTGAGGATTGGATCGGACAAGGGACAAGAAAGGGAGGAAGGCAGTTTAAGTGTTCAGCTGCAAAGGTTTTATGTTGCACAATGGTCATTAAAGACACAGCAAGAACTATATGAGCAGTTAGGAATATGTTGGCATTGAGGTTTGAAGGAACCATGCGCGGTGGTCTTTCGCCTGCGCTTCCGCAAGACATCATTGTGTGTTACATACCGGCAGCTGTGTTGGCCGCAGCTGGGACGCGTTCGGACGATGCCCCACAACCCATCTTACGCCGTGTGAACTTTGGGTTCAACCCGAAGCGCTTAAGTAGGCTTAAGGAATGTCGCCTCCTCACAGGCGGCAGCGCGGTTGCGCGATTTTCGCCAGCAACAGCAGCTAGTCAAGTGCAAATTTCAAATCGATGTCTAGGGAAAAACTTAGAGGTACGAGGTTTGAGCTTCACAGTTGTATCTGTGCTGCTCCGGCACGTGAGCTATTGACCTGAGGCTATCTTTCGTGAGGTTATTGCAACGTTGAGAAACAATACGTAAAATGTGTCCTCTACATTTCCCACGCGGCCCGTTTGCTGCAAAAACCATGTCGCCCACCCGTACATTAGTACTGCTACCTGCTTCGAACTGTTGGCAGCATTCTTTGGCGTATCTACGTACACAGTTGAATGAATTTTACTCTTCTCACAGTATATTATAGATTAAGCATGAAACCTAATTTTTCACTGATGTCGTCATCAGGAGTCCTGAATTGCATCCTTTAGATCCTACTTACAAGCAAGGTCGAAAGGCAAACAAGGAAAATTTATTCCATATTTAACTCTTGGATTGCGGGATCACTATTAGAATCGTCAGAGTGCTATGTTCGAGTTGACCGCCCGGTCCTTTGGTTTCACGCAACATTGCATGTTGATTAAGTGCTCGTCCTGTAGTGTAGTACGGCAAGTGCGGCGCGGGAGGAG